TTCTTATGGTTGTATCCTCTTGTTCAATGTCCTTCTTTGTCTATTAGCTAGATTTTGCCTTAAAGTCTATTTTATCAGAGGTTAAACTCACCACTCATACTCATTTTTAATTGTCATTAGCTTAATTTTTTTTCCACCTATCCTTTGATTTTCCATCTAGTTTTGTCTTTCATTGTGAAGTGTGTCTCTTGTAGACAGCATATTGAAGGATCCTGTTTTCTTATTTATTCTGCTATTCTCTTGACTGGTATATTTAATCCAGTTACATTCAGTGTTTTATCCATCAGTATGAATTGAGTGCTGTCATTTTGCTGTGTGCTTTTTTTGTGTGTATGGTGCTGCTGGGTTCTTTGTTCTACATGATTTTCTTTGTTGAGTTCATTTTGTTTGGGGGTTTTCTTTCATTCCCCCCTCCCAGGGTGCTTGTGAATTTATTCAATCGTTATGTTAAAAGAATATACAGTGTTTCGTAAATGTCTGGATTTTCCATTCTTGCTGTGTTTGTTTTTGTTTTTTTTAATTTAAACTTTTTATTATGAATTGAGGGAAGGTTTACAGAGCAGATCATCAGTTTTACATTCAACAAATCATATACTTTGCTTCATTATATGGTTGCAATCGCCTCCATGTACCAACAGTTAACAGCATTTACCTTTATTCACTTTAACTACTTCATTCCTCCCTGTGTCTCCCGCCACCCCTATCTTGCCTCTGCCAGCCTCCCTCCAGTTGTATATTGTCTGCCCTGTCACCCATGTCAATGCTTATCATTTCCTCCTCCCCCACAAAATCTTCTTAGATTTTGTCTCTTTTATCCAGAAAACCCCCCCTCCTTTTTTTCTTGATGTTAAAAAAAAGAAAGAGAGAGAGAAAGAGAAAAAAAAAACAAAACAAAAAACGACACAGGAATATGTATGTAAACATTTAAACAACCAAAGGGCACATTCTGGAAGCCACACCAGACTGATTCCCTCTTTTTGCTTTGTAATTGACTTCATTATAAATTGATATCTCTGCCTTGCTATTTTCAGCCTTGTAGGTTTGTTTTATTTTAAATACTTCTGTATCTGGATTGAGTTTTGGACGTTATTGTCATGTATGTTGTTGTCTGCTATTGTACTTTTTTAGTCCAAAAAAAAACGCCCTTTAGTAATTCTGTAGAGTTGATCTGGTTATTACAAAGTCATTTAATATCCATTTATCTGGTTAAATGTCCTAATTTTGCCATCATATTTGAGGGATAGCTTTGATTCCCCTTCTGCCCCCCAGAGTTTTGTATATGTCTTCCCATTGCCTTCTTGCCAGCATCATTTCTGCTGAGAAATCAGAGCTTGGTCTTACTGGCTCTCCTTTGCAGGTAACTTCATTTATTCCTAGCTGCTCTGATTCTTTCCTTGGCTTTGCTTTTGAAAAGTTTGATTATGATATGTGTTGGTAATTTTCTTTTGAGATCTATTCTGTTTGAGGTTCGTTCATCTTCTTGAGTGCTTATCTTCTCGTTTTTCATGACGTTGTTGTGTTGTTAAGTGCTGTTGAGTCGGTTCCAACCCATAGCAACCCTGCATAGGGTTTTCAAGGAACAGCTGGTATGCTTGAACCACTGATGTTGCGGTTCAAACCGACTTTGCAGTCCAGCGCATTAACCCACAACACCACACCAGGGTGGAAGTTTTATCCCGGTAATTCTTTGACAATTTTCTCTGTGGTTTTTATTGTCTCTTCCTGTTCAGGAATTCTCATCACCAGTAAATTGTTCCCCTTCATGGTGTTCCAGATAAGCCTGAGGCATTTTTCTGATTTTTTCATTCTTTTTTTCTGATTGTTCTTCTAACTTACTGGAATTGGATGATTTATTTTCCAGCTCACTAATTCAGGCTTCCATTGTTTTATCTCCACTCCTTTGCCTTTTCAATGTATTGTCTATTTCTGAAATCTTAGTATTAATCCTCTTGATTTTCTGTTTGCAGGTTTTGTATTATGTCCAAATTTGCATTTATTTTGTTGGTTTGATCTTGTAGTGTTCTCCTTAATTCTTCTAAACTTTTTTTCTGTTTTCCTTGATTTTTCTGTCAGTCCATTGAAGGCATGTGAATACCATTCTTTTGAGTTCTTTCTCATGTAGTTCCATTACCTTTTCTTCCTCAGACACATTTTCTGACTGTTCATGTTGGTCATTTGTTTTAAGTCATTCTCTCTTGTTTCTTTTGTAAATGAAAATAATCGGTTGTCTCCAGGATATTATGGTGTCATTGTATTTTTATTTGATTGATGATTGTATGTTGGTGTGCTTTTAGGCTCTCCCAGCTGTCCACTTGTGGGTGTGATTAGAGAATGGAAGTATATTGCACCGTTACTCATTCACCGTTCATTCTGCTCAGTTTAGGGTAGGTTTGGCTGCTGTCTATTATTGATACAGTGGTACAGTAGCTGGTATTGGCTTTTGCCCAGTGGGTGGAGTTGCAGAGGGTATAGCTGTGACTGGACTGTATGGGTACAATTGTTGTGCCCCATTGGTTGGGGCAAGAGATAAAAAACACAGTCACAAGAAAACAAAACCAAACTAAACAAGCAAAAATCAATGAAAACAGAATATAATAAAGGAGAAAAATAAGCAAAACCAGGCAGAAACAAGAAAAAAAGAGTAAATAAGAAAATGAAAAGAGAAGAATAACTGAAAAATAGAACTATATAAGAGAAAATAAAACGAAGAGGAAAAAAACTTTTTTCTTTTTTAAAAAGATGGAAAGAGACTAGAGAGTAAAGAAACATAGAGGAGAAAAAAAGGGTGGAAGTTAGAAACAGGATAAAAAAAGGAAAAAGAAAGGATAAAAATCAAGGGAGGGAAAGAGAGGAAGAAGAAGAAAGAATAAGCTAACAAAAACAATGAAACAGCTAAAACAAAAATAAAAACAGAAGATCATTGCAGTTATTGTACCCAGAGATGAGAAAGCTTACGAGGTGGGTAGGGGAGGGATATGACAGCTGAGTTTCCAGCCCTAGATGCAGTTCCTGTAGTCCTGGGTGTTGCCTATGTGTTGGGCATCTAATCTGGAGGTGGTTTGAGGAGTCCTTTAACAATCTTGTTTTAGTGTCTTTCACCACCAAAGGGCAGCTGTGGGGACAAGGTGACTAATTATGAGGCCCTGCAGGCTCTGTAGGTCTGGAGCAGAGTAGAATCCAGATGTCAAGGCAGCACAGCCTCACACTTCACTCACCACCGTGTGACATTCCTGGAGAGCTGGGCCTGTGCTGTGGGCAGATGAAGGTGTTGGCCTGAGACACGTCTGGTCTCCAGTGGAGTATAGGGAGCAAGAAGGAATCTCACCTTTTCCAGTGCCCTTATGACTCTGCACTTCCAGATTGCTGTCTGTCTCCAAAGCTGCTCACAAAAGTTCAAGATGGCTGCACCATATTTCTCTGGCAATCTGTTTACAAGCCAGTTTACTTCTTTTGAAGGAAAATTGAGCCCTGCTCAATTTCTCCTCCCAGTGGGTATTTAACCCACTTCTCTAACCTTGCCTTTGAAGCTCAGGGTTCCTGGATTATCATCTGTGTCTCTTTCATTTGGTTTCCTGTATCTTTGTTCTATAGAGTCTCTGTAGCCTGTCTACCTACACCCTCCCCAACCTCTGCTGGAAGTCACCTGTTTGTGCCCTTTTGTAATGGGACTTTGAAGCTCCTGTCATCCAGAGGCAGAACTTATTCCTCCCACTTTGACTCTGGGCTGGCCTGGTAACTTGCTTTAGTCTTTAGAATAATGCTGTTCACTTCGTAGAGCCTAGGACTTAAGAGACCTTTCCAGCGTGGCTCACATTCTTCTGGAACCCAGCCATCATTGAAAGATCTTAGACCAGTTAGGGGTCTAGTGCCCATGTGGAAAGCAGGGCCCAGCAGTTCCAGACACTCCAGCTGTCCCAGTACCAGGTAGCTGTCCCATCATCTGAAGGTAGACAAGAGGGTTTGGGTGTGTCTGCCTAGGCTGGAAGTCTCTTTTGATTTCTTCTGTTATCAGTATGTTTAAAGTAAACATTTACTTAGAGATTATTGTAAATGTTTGTGCAGTTGTAAGAGTCAGTGCAGTACCTTTACCCGATAGTATCATCTTGCAGAACTTCAGTATCACAGTGAGGATATAGATTAATCCAATGAGGACACACAACATTTCCATTACTAGAAGTGTCCCTTGTTGTGCTCTTTTATAACCACACTTATCTTAAGGTTGGCGGTTTAAACCCATCAGCTGCTCCATGGGAGAAAGATGAGACTTCCTGCTCCAATTAGAAACCCTACTCAAGGTCGCTATGAGTTGGAATCGACATAATGGCAGTGGGTTTGGTTTGGGTTATTAATTTTATTTCTGTTTCTCAAATTATTTTGGACATTTGTAGTTCCTTTTCTTTTCCGTATAAATTTTAGAATCAACATTTCTATACCTTTGAGAAATCTTGCTGGGATTTTGATTGGCATTGTAATATAAGATCAGTTTGATGAAAAATTGTATCTTTACTGTATCAAATGTTTTTATTTTTTTAATCAGTATTATATAGTTTTTAAAGTATAAATTTTACACATTTTTATTTGTCCAGAATTACACCCATTTTTCTTTGTGTGTGTGTGTGAGGGGTGGTAGGGGCAGGGATAATCGTAAATGGCATTGTATTTTTAAGCTTTGTGTTCACATATTCAAGTGGCATTTCTGGGTCATACAGTAATTATGTATTTAACTTTTTGAGGGCTCCATTTTATTTTATTATTTGTTTTATTGTGACATTATAGAAGAAATCTAAGATATATTGTGGCATCTTTAGGGCTCTGAAGATTTATTTCTACTCTTATTTTTTGCTTATTTCTGTGTACTTTTCATTATAATGATGCTCACTGATACTTACTCAAGAGAGTCACAGTTAAATCATGATATATTTTGAACAGTTGTGAGTTTTTATTTATTCATAATCATTACTTTCATATTCATTAGTTTAACTGTGATTTTATTTACTTAGAAAAAAGAAAGTGAATGTCTGCAATTAAAAATTTTGGTGCTTCGAAATGAACTGGAAAGACAGAAGAAAGCTTTGGGACAGGAGGTGGCATTACTGCATAAACAACAAATTGCATTACAGGACAAAAGTGAGTAGAAATATCACACAAACAGCCCAACCTCCAAATGTAATCGTTTTCCTTTATTCTTTTCCATAGGCTCAAATAGTCACCTTGGTGCAAATATGATAGACTTTTCATGCATTTTCAGAGAATTACATGCATACATAAAAGTGAATAAATCCAGAGGTGTATAGTTAACTTGCTTTTCATAATGTGAACATATTCATGTAGTCAGAATCCCCAAGACCCAGACACCATGCTCCCATCCAGTCTTTATCTCTTCAGCGAAGCTATCCCCACTGCCTTGCTTTATAAGACCAGATTGGTTTTATCTGATTCTGTGCTTTTTAGAAATAGAATTATATTATATCCATTCTTTTTGTGCCTGACTTTTGCTCGACATTTTTGTAAGATTCATTCTTACTTGCATGTAGAAAATTTATTCATTCTAAAATTGCTGAATAGAATTCCACTGTACAACTATGGGTTTATTCACTCCTACTGATGATGACACTAGAAAGATGTTTGCTTGTTTGAAATACCGACGAAGATCAAAGACTGCAGCTTTCAATATGGATTGCACCTTAATGTAAAGAAAACAGAAATCCTCACAACTGGGTCAATAAATAACATCATATTAAACAGAGGAAACATTAATGTTTTTACAGCTTTCGTTTCACTTGGATCCATAAGTAATGTTCATGGAAGCAGCAGTCAAGAAATGAAAAAGACATATTGTATTAGGTAAATCTGCTGCAAAAGACCTCTTTAAAGTATAAAGGAGCAAAGATATTAGTTTGAAGACTTAAGATGCACCTGATCCAAGGCATGGGACTTTCAGTTGCCTCAGACGTATATGAAAGTTGGATGATGAATAAGGAAGACAGCAGAATTGATACCTTTGAATTATGGTGTTTGCAAAGAATATCAAAAGTATCACAGACTGCCAGAAGAGCAAACAAATCAGTCTTGGAAAAAGTACAGCCAGAAAGAATGCTCCTTAGAAGCCAGGATTGCGAGACTTTGTTTCTTGTACTTTAAACATGTCAGAAATGACCAATCCTTGACATCATGCTTGGAATAGCAGAAGGTCAGCAAAATAGAGGAAGACCCTCTATGAGATGGATTGACACTGTGGCAGAAACAAGGGGCTCAAACAGCAACAATTGTGAACATGGGCAGTGTTTCATTCTGTTGTGTACAGGGTCACTGTGAGTCAGAACTGGCTTGACTGTTGTTGGCATTTTAGTGATTTCCAATTTTGGACTTTAAAATATAATGCTCTCATGAAAATTCTAGTACATGTGTCTTGGTGGTGGTTGTGTGGTGTCAAGTCGGTTTCAACTCATAGCAACACTATTTAAGGTTTGGTGTTGTTGATGTTAAGTGCCATTGAGTCAGTTCTGACCCATAGCAACCCTGTATAGGGTTTCCAAGGAACCACTGACCTTGTGGTTCAAATCAACTTTACAGTCCATACATTAACTCACAGCGCCACACCAGGACTCCTATTTAGGATTTCCAAGGCCATAAATCTTTGCAGGAGCAGAAAGAGTGGTCTTTCTCATGCAGAGCTGCTGGTGGGTTTAAACTGCTGACCTTGAAATTAGCATTCCAACACATAAGCCATTACACCTCCAGGGCTCCTTACATGTTTCTTAGTGATGATTTTTATGCATTTCTATTAGATATAAACCTAAGTCCTAATTGGCACAGTGGACCACAAGGTCGGTTTGAACTGTAGGGTCGGCAGTTCAAATTCACGAGCTGTTCCTCAGAAATGCTGTTCAGGGTTTCTGTGAGTCAGAACTGACTCAAAGGCACTTAACAATAGCGGAAACCTAAGAGTGGCACTGTGTGGTCAGAAAGTGTATGCATGTTCACCTTTAGTAGAGTGCAGCAAAAAGTCTCCCGAAGAGGTTGTGCCCATTGACCTCCCCTTCAACCAGCAGCAGAGCAGAGCTTTGCTCCACCTCCTTGTCACCATTTGGCCCTTTCGGCCTTTTAATTTAATTCTATGCTTTCTAGCTGAGTATGTGCTAGTACTGTGTTGTGGTTTTAATTTCTATTTCTCTGAAGACTTACGAAGTTGAGCACCATTTTATATGTTTATTTGCAATAAGGATACACTCTTTTGTGAAGTACAAGTTCAAGTCTTTTGCCCATTAAAAAAATAATTGGTTTAACTTTTTTCTAAAAAATTGGTGTAGGTGCTCTTTAGGGTGGCATGGTGGTGCAATAGTTAAGCATTTGGTTTGAACCCACCACCAACTGCACTTCTTTGGAGAAAAGTGTGGCAGTTGACTTCTGTAAAGATTAACCCACTGCCATGTGTAAGTAAAGATGAACAAAACCACAGAGGTAGAAACAAGTCAAGTATGTGCTATAAAAAATATGGCAAGCAACTATTAACATTTGTTAAATGGTGGGGAGAGAATGAAACTAAACCACAGTTATATTGTTGTTTTTGTTGAGTGCCATTGAGTTGGGTCCAACTTGTAGCGACCCTGTGTATAGGGTTTCCAAGGAGTGACTGGTGAGCTTTAACTTGCCGACCTTGCAGTTCAAACCGAACTTGCAGTCCAGTGCATTAACCCATAGCACCAATTTATTGAAGTGAAGAATCACCATTTAAGTAGACAAAAACCCAAATCCACTGCCATGGAGTCGGTTCAGACTTGTAGTGACCTTGTATAGGGTTTCTGAGGCTGTGAATCTTTAACGGAACAGATAGCCTCATCTTTCTCCTGGAGCAACTGGTGAGTTTGAACTGCCTACCTTGCTGTTAGTGTGGTTATAAAAGGGCAATAAAAAGGATTCTTGTGATAATGGAAATGTTGTGTATTTTCATTGTAGTAGTCCAGTGCTTAATCCTATAGCTCCACCAGGGCTCTGTAGAGGTTTTTTGTTGTGAAATGCTGTTGAGTCAGGTATGACTCATAACAAGCCTGTATAGGGTTTCTGAGGAGCAGCAGGTGAATTTGAACCACCAGCCTTGTGGTTAGCAGTCCAGTACTTATCCGACAGTACCACACCAGGACTCTCTGTAAAGCCTTGGAAACCTGTGGGAAAGTCCTATAAGGTTGCTATGAGTGGGAATCGACTCAACATCAATGGGTTCGGTTTACTTTGGTGATGCTACAGTTAATCACTTGGCTACTAACCAAAAGGTTGACAGTTAAAACCCACCAGTGTCTCCACTAAAGAAAAGACCTCATGATCTTGTCTCCGTTTCCCTCTCTCCTACAATGGTCACTAAGAGTTAGACTCAACTCTGTGACACCAAATAACAATGACAGGAGCTCTTTATGTATTACAGATGTGGGATTTTGGTCTGGAGCATGTATTACAAGTATATTTCTCACCCTGTTACTAGTTCAATCTTCACCGGTATCTTTTAGTAAGAAAAAGTTCCATTTGATTAGTCATTTCCTTTATAGTTAATGCTTTTTGTGTTTAGTCTCAGAAATACGTTCCTTAAACTAAGCAACTTAATGATATTATTTTGTGTTTTCTTTAAAACATTTTCCTTTTCATTGATATGTAACATTCATCTATAATACATATTTGAATAGGGTATACAATGTGTCAAGTTAGTATAAGATGAGTCAAGTTAATTTTTTGACCCGGCACCATTTATTGAAGCTATCTTTTTTTAAAAAAGCTCCATTGCACAACATTGTCAGTTTTGTCATAGGTCAGATGACTAATTATATAAAAGTCTGTTATAGGACTCTTTGTCACCAACATTGTGGCTTTTAATTGTGTTTCCCTAGTAAGCAGTGATCCTGAACATCCTATTACAGTTGGTCTTCGTGTGCTAATTTTATATCCAGGGACCTTACTAGTTCATTTTGCTATTTTGATTTTTCTGTGTATATAATGTGTTTACCTGCAAATGATAATGTTTTAATTTATTTCCTAATGTTAAAAAAGCTTTTTTAGTGTGCATTGAGTGAAGGTTTACAGAGCAGATCACCAGTTTTATGTGTTTATTATTCAACACATCATATACTTCATTTCATTTCAATGATTAAAATCCCTTCAATACAGCATTACTTATTCCACTTCTCTGTGACTCTTGTCTCCATTACTCCTTCTTTCCCAGTCTTTCTGAATTTTGTCCTTAGGTAAATGCTCCCCTTTTGTTCTTGAATGGTTCACCTTTCTGTGGTGTGCAGACCTCACTAGTGTTCTGTCTGTATACCTCTCTACTGCTTGTCTCAAAACTGAACCATGAGGGTGAATTCAGTACTAGACCCAAAGGGTGACCAAGGACTGTAGTGTCAGAGTGTCAGTTTATTTCAGTCTTTCTGATCAGTGAATTCTTTTTTTTTTTTTTATAATGTTGAGTTTTTTTCCACATTTTCTCCCACTCTTTCCAGAACCTTCTAATGTGCCCTTTCAGAGCAGCTGGTATTGGTAGATGGGCACCATCTCATTTTTCTGGTCTCAGTGTCATGGAGACTGATGTCCACATGGTCCATTGGACTCATTGTTTTCAAGCCTCTTCAGTTTTCATCACTCTTCCTTCCTCTGCACAGGGAGAGACTAATAGTTGCACTTCAGATGGCCACTCTTATTTCCTAATTCTTAGGCCTCTTATTTATTTGTTTTTTGCCTTATTGTACTATGTAGGACATCAGTACAATGTTGACTAAATGTGGTGGCAATAGATAGCCTTGTCTAACTTCCAGTCTGAGGGCAGGAGCTTTTACTATTTCACCATGAAGTATGACATTTACTGTAAACTCTTGTAGTTCTTATTTTGTAGTTTACTTTTTTTGAGGTTCTTTGCCCAGCTTGTCAACTCCTTTCCCCAACCTTTGGCCTCTAACTGCTGCTGACTTAATTGTTGACATCATTTTGTCTTTTTTAGCATTTCCTGTATATTGAATCATAGAATATGCACTCTTTCACTTAACGTAATGCTGTTGAGATTCATTCATGTTGTTGTATGTGTCAGGAATTCTTGCCTTTTTATCTCTGTGCTAAATTCCACTTTATGTATATATCCCAATTTGTTT